TGTAAATGATGTGTGATGAGTGGATTTTCACCATTATTTATTGTAGATTGATTAAGTCGTCTAACTCTAACTCCCTTTTTTCTTTCAAGTACTCTTTTTGTAATTACATAATCAACTCGCAAAAGTAATCTTCTGTTCGTGTGTGCATGTGTATGTGTGTGTGTGTGTTTGTGTATGCGCGCCCACCTACAAGCTTTGGCGTATAAATAATATCAAATTCTATTTTTAGCGGTGTTTTTCAAGAAAATTTAATAAAATTAATGTCGTATATAATGAAGATGATGGATCTGTTAGAACGAGAAGTTTCTGACTTATCTCAGTAATAATAGTAATACTAATACTACTACAACTACTACTACTAATAATAATAGTAATTCTGTTCATTCCTAATGTTGCTAATTCAATCTTCCCTCTCATGAATAGAAAAGTCAACACAAATAAGAAATATTTGCAAGATCACTGAATACCAAGAGGCATTTATTTGTTAGACACTGGTTTCGTCCTCGTTTAAAACTCGTCAGCAAGCATTCCTCTGATGAAATTAACTTTGTGAAGTATGCTGATGATTTCACAATTTCAATGGCTGTTAACTTCCAGCTAGATTGTACCAAAATAAAAAGGGCTTTCTCCCTCTCTCGAGAGAGAGACAGTAAATGATCTGAGTCTAACGGTCTTAAACTGAATCCTTCCAAAATGTCAAACCGAGTAATTTCAGCTTAAGATGTAAAAGACAGTTAAATGAGGTCATCAATTCTCATGACATTTGTAAGATTGACGACAATGATTTAGGAATCCAATCAGAAATTAAGTGTCTTGGAATTATTCTTTGTTCCGATCTCTCTCTCTCTCCTGGTCTTCCCATGTCTTAGCGATCTCCAGTAAAATATATTCCGCCTAACATTTTACATTAAGAAGTTAAAGCACTCATGTATAACTCAACCCTACCCCTCTTACAGTTCATAAACTCTTGCATCCTACCTATTCTTCTTTATTGTTCACCCTTGCTTATTCTTTCCTGGTTTGCTTAAAAAGGACTATGTCACAATTCTTAGAATGCTGAAGACTGTCAGTAGGGTGAATGGTGTCCCAGTGGAGCACATAGTTAACGTCGTTGTCAATAGGCACTTGACTTCGTGCAATAAATTTGCTAGAGGGATTTTGCCATCTGACTTGGAGCATTCACTTTACCCTCAGCTTTCACCTTGCATCTTCTCAGGTAGAACAAGAGGCAACTTCAGAAAACTGTATGCTCGCACGTCTAAGTATTAAAAATTCTATGATACCATACTTGGCACGTATTTTATGTGATGAAAATAGTGTCAGGCAACAATTAACTAACCTTTTTTCATCTAGTAAATAAACAATTTCCTCCATCCATCCTTATATACCTTGAAGTTTTACTTTTATTATTTCTATTATATTTATGGTCCTGTTGCTTCTCGCTGTTTTACTTGTTTTACTCTCATAATTGCAAACACCAACTTATCTCCATGACTGCTGTAATCTTTATTTTTCCCCTCACCATGTATCATGTAAAGCGAACATTATATTCAATATTTTTAAACATGTTAGGATTTCTATACCACATTGCCAATACTGTGTGAAACAAGCCCACGGCAATTTTCACTTGTATTCTCATTATTATTACCCTAGCTGTTATCATTATTACTGTTATTTCCATTTTATATGCTGCATGATTTTGACACTACTTCTATTGTAAATGTGGAAAATTTTCTGTGTGATTAATTTTTATTTATAATTTGAAGAAAATTAGATGCAAGATATTGTGATTAATGCTGAAAATTCCATTCTGTATCACAAGTACTGTTTTTGGAATAAAGTAAATCATTATTATTATTGCTCACATACATGGTCCTATCTGCAGAAAGGCATAGACCCTAAGACCATCTAGCCATTAAAGACAACCAACATTTGAGAATATCTACCCACTACAGTCTTACAGGAGGTCAATCGCGAGCCCGAATAGCTCAGCGGTAACGTCTCTGACTGCAGTCAATACTGGATGACACGGTTTCGAATCTCAAACAGGTGGGACATGAGTTGTTTCTTCAAGGCAGTTGCAGATACGCCTTGCTGACTGGCTGGTGAGTGCCAACTAGCACGAAACCTGGTTGGTGTCCAAAGCTTCCTGGGGCTGATTGCATCCAACTATCTAATGTCATCAAGTTAGTGTGCACCGTGATGGTGAGCTACCTAACGGAATGGTGACCACATTGCAAACCTGACTGACTGACTGATAGAATTCAGTCTGCAACAAAGAAAGATACTATTAGGAGGAAGTTATCAGTAGTTTTGATAAGAAGTTATGACAGGTGGAGTCCACTAAATACTTGGGTGTGAGAAAAAATATCTGCTTATTATACTGACCGGTTATTGCTCTTTATATATCGTGGATTTGCAGAATTAAGAAGTCATGAAGGAGCTATTGGATTCCATCCTTTAGTTCGTGACAAAAATGTAACAATCGAAATTAGTCCAAAGCTCGTTAATGGCTGGTGGACTCAATAGTCACTAATTTCTGGTTCATATGGTTTCATGGTCTCGTTGTCTGTCAGTGGAGTGATGGGTGATGGGAGCTTCCGGGAAGTCCCGAGATAGGACGAAACAGCTATCCACTACTACCTGGTTTTTAAATGATCTCTCTAACAGGTGTTAGTTCAAGGCAAAAATATGATATCTGAACTCCATTCTGGTTACTGAATGGTAAACAAGCTCACCCCATAATCTGAATTTCCTGGGTTCGAGCCCTAGTGAACTGAGTAATGCGAATCCCCTGAAGTGTTTTTGAAACCGGAAGAAAACAACTCTCCAATACTTCTAAGACAGATTAAGTCATAAAGCCACGACTAGAAGAGTCTACTGGACAAGATTGTTTTGTCCTGACTTGTTTGGGACTCTTCAGCAACATAAGTATACAGACGCCCCGTCAACCACTAGAGAGATCAAACTAAGGACCTTCAGATTGCCTAGTGAGGTCGTTGAGCATTCACTCACTGAAACAAAAATCAATGAACTCTGCATTTTAACTGTGGTGATATATTTAACTTTGGTGATATATTCAAACTTATGAAAGAGAGGTAGATTATTCATATGGTTTGCCAGAGTTGATGGGTGTTGATAATTCGGCGTAGTGACAAGGGTGGAGAGAAAAGCAACAAAGTAGAATAGCGCTAGAGATTTACACTTAATTTGTGTGTGTTTTTTTTATAGTTGGGTTTGAAGGATTACTTTTGTTTCTACGAGTTGATTCTTACAAACCAACCACAACAAATTAATCTGATGCACACTAGTGATGACTTACTACAGAACGGAGTTTCCTGGAGTTCTTTTGATGAGAAATGGTGACCAATGAGGTCCAATCAGTCAAGTATTAGGATGGATTCCCCATCGATGACATTGTTTGAGGTCGCGCTAAATCATGAATCGGTCGAAGTTAGAATTCATGGGCTAGTCATTGAGAAGTTGGGTCCCAGTGGCTGAATGGTGTACAAGCTTGCCTTCCATTTGGAAGGTCCTGGGTTCGAACCCCACGATGTGGATACATACTGCCGATGAGTCCTAAACTAAGCTGACGAAACAGCAGTCTGGCAGTACTCCCAGATGGTTTTTAATGGTTCTGTAACTGATACCAGTCCATGATCAACTTAATTTATGGCGTAAGAATGAGATCAATAAGTATTCCCATTATTAAGTGTTGGTTTGTAGGGATTTGATTGGTTTCAGGATTTCATCATGAGCTGACATTAGTTAGAGAACCATTGGAAAACCTGAGAGTACTGGACAGCTGTTTCGTCCTAGTTTGGGACTCTTCAGCAGTACGCACCCACCAGTGGCTTAATGGTATACAAGCTCGCCTTGTAACCGGAAGGTCCTGGGTTCAAATCCCGGTGGGTGCGTACTGTTGAAGAGTCCCATTCTAGGACGGGGGAAACAGCTGTCCAGTACTCCCAGGTTTTTCAGTGGTTCTCTAACTAATGTCAGCTCATGATGAAATCCTATTCCCATTATTGTTATTAATATTAGAACAAGACATATGAGCGAACAATATTGCTGTTTTCAATTAGATCTTCTTCAGGCTTTACTCTAATTTACATAGATTTATGTATAAAAATTTTAACCAGTGACGGTGATTTTGTGGATCAAATAATAATAGTAATCATAATAATAATGCAAGGGAGATGCTCATTAATACGCTTGTTGAGTTGCTGTCTAGTTTTTTTCACCCTATATAGCCCTCTCCACAGTAGCAATTAAATTTATAGATGCACACAGAAGTGGCACAGCTAGGTAGGTAGCTTGTCTTTCACTTGAGCAATCATAACTGGTCGGTAGCTGGAAAATGACAAACAGTGGGTGGCGGTGGCAGTATAAGTCCGTTTCTATCGCTCTCGATAATCTCTGATGCAAGACTTCACTAGGCACTTCCCCATTAAATTGCAATTTCATGAACAGTTGTTCCCTTTTTTTTAACTGTGTTGTCAGTTTCTCTTAATTGTACCTGGTGTTCAGGTGCCTATCTCCTTACAAATCTACTAGGATAACCTATTTTGGACCAGCGTATTTAGGATTTATCCTAAATCATGTGTACGGATCCGTCTTGCTCTATTCGTGAGGTGGCATCTGATGAAATTGATTTTATATCAGATTGGTACAAAATTGAGGAAATATGTATATTGTCCTACAAATGTAGGTTTTCTATAAACATCTCTCTTGAGTAAACCATCCATCCTCTCTTCTGAAAACAATATTGTTCGCTTATATGTCTTGTTCTAAGAATAAGATGAGTTGAAATAAGCACTTTAGGAAATGACCAGTTTTTCTTTGTCAGAATAAACCTGGTTGATTGGTTATGTGTGGGTGGAATGTGTGCTGGTCAAACTACAACTACTAATACGCATAATAATTAACACCGCAAAATAAAATCTCCAAGCTGTCAAATACACACACACACACATAAAAGAAGAAACCATCAATCTCACCTTTACGTTCAATCACCTGTGATAAATTAACTAATTCTTCAAATAACGATGAACCTTGACAAGTTGGTATCATAAAAAATGGATCATAATTCCCAAGAAGATCAAATATTCCTCCAATATGATAGAAAATCTCTTTAAGTTGTGTCATCCCTATTAAAAATAAATAATCCAATGACTGGAGTTGTCGCTGTTGTTGCTGTTGCTGTTCTTCATTCTGTTTATTGTCACCATGGTGATCGGCATGATCGCCATAATCATAATATTGTCGATGATTATAATAATAATAGTAGTAGTAGTAATAATAATGACAACTTCCCATGGTCAGTTTGAAAGCGATTAAGCACATTAACAGAAGTAAACTTGTGTAAACGAGAATATTTAAACTGGAGGGCGGATGAAGCGCTCTCCAATGACTTGTGTCTAGCCGTTTCAGACTATTTCGTGATCGGAATCGTGGTAGTATCCGATAGGCGTTTAATATTCCAATAAACATTAGTATTATCACTATTATTATAAGTAATAATATTAATATTAATAGTAATATTAGTATTATAATCATTATAATCCGTTTGATAGCTTTTATAATCACCAGTGTACATGTTTTCTTTTCACGTTGGGTTCGCTCATTCACTCAAACACTCACTCACACTTTTGCCGACACCCCGTAATTACGTCGTCATTACCGTTCACTACTTGATAACAAAGATATCGATACCATTTCATGATTATCACACAAAATCATTAATTAATGATGAGATTATTGAATTAAATGAGAGCGTAGGTGGTGGTGGTGGTGGGGGAGGAGTAGAAATCACTCTCAGTGTTGTTATTATATCCCAGCAACAAACTTAATTCCATCATTTCATAAAAACCAATTCTCGTAATTTTTCTTTTCTCATGGTGAATTACAATTTTAATAAAAGCGCTATGACACAATTGTCATTACAAATTTTGGCGTGGGCGTAAATTGAGTTCACGTATACGTTGGTGTGTGTGTGTGTGTCAATTTTCCACTTTATTTGATTGGTTCATTCAGAAGACAAACTAACCAATCAGAATATTTTGAATGTTGTCATTTTACACCCACACACTCATGAACAAATATATATATATATGTATTTACGCACACGCTACTGGTGATATTGTTAATAGTGAGTAATATCAAAAAGCAATCTGAGGTTTTGTAAAATCCCACCCCCACCCCCGCTTGACCATCCCCACCACACGAAAAGAAACTACTCTAATTTAACTGTTATACATTATTCATGAAATTGGAACAAAAATAATAGGAGGATATTAATCTACTCAACGATTTTAATGAGTATTGGATATGTAATGTATGTTGATAGTTTGAGTTTTCCATGTTTAATAAGTAGAAACGTTTTTTTTGTATTTATTGATTTTAATTTATTTATTAAACTACTGTTACACCTTCAAACACGAATAGGACTTTACATGAATTATTTCAAATATGATCGCGGATTGATATGAGTTAGAGAAGGACCGTTGAAAAGCAACTGGGAATACTGCCAGACAACTGTTTTGTCAGCTTAGTTTGGGATTCTTCAGAAGTACGCACTCACCTCCAGTGGTGGTCGAACCTAGGACCTGCTGGTTACAAGATTAGAGAGCTCGTACACCATTAGGCCACTCACTAGGACCCAGTCCAATGGCCAGCCCATGAATTCTAACTTCTGCCAATTCATGAATGACATACCGCGACCATTTCACAATGTCTTCTTCGATGACCTACTGCCTCATTACCTTCAACCTGGTGTACCCTACTGTTCACAGCTTTCCCGTTAGAAGCCCAGGTTAACTGCCTGAATAAGGCGAGTCGCTAGTGAGAACCAAATCACTTTGTAGACCTACTACACTCAGCACAAACGGCGAGGTTCGATGGACATATTGCTGAAAACCTGGCCTTTGAAAGAGGGGGTTAGGCGTGAATGAGGCTAGCAAACTCACCCTGCACAAACAAGGAATTTCCAAAGCCCAAGGTTATGTTCCAAAAACTCGGAACGCTCCTACAGGAGGTGAGTCCTTAAGCTGAATACTGGATAGCGCATATTTGAATCCTAGGTAGGATATGGGAGCAGGTACGCCTTGCCGACAACCAATGGCAATAATTATCAAAACCTAAGTCTAGCCAAAACTTTCCAGCCGATATCCTCCAACCAGAAAAGATAGAGAAACACCCGAAAGTACCAATGGATACACCCCACCCAAACACACATACACGCATACTTACATAATGAGCTATTGAACATTGCAAAAATATATATGTTTCTAATGGGCAAAAAATAAACCTCGAAGAAAATGACTTTTAAATTCATCCAAGTATAATATAAGTTCTGACAACGATAATTTATTTTGTACAAGAAAGTAGAAAATGAATGGTTATAGGGTGGAGTGGGGTACGTGGTTGCGTGGGTGGGTGGGTGGACGGTTGAGAGAAAGAAGGAGTGATGTGGGGGGTGGGTAAACACAACCTATAGACTCAAAGAAGACAAATGAAGACGGAAAGGTAATAATATCGTTTTCTATGCCTAAATGTAACAAATTCCATCTGGAGAGAAGACGAGGTCGACGACAATAAAAATGACAGATACTTGTATGTCTTCCTTCAATCCACTCACTCACTTACAACCAAATACACACGCGAACACATACTTGCGCATACCGACACTCAAAGAGGAAAAATCACGATGGGATAAATTGGGATTGGATCAATATTGAGCATATATATGTATGTATATTATCGTCTTCGTTTTAAATTTATTACTTTACTCGATATAGTTGTAACAATTTAAAAATGAAATCTCAGAGGTAAAGCATGATAACCCCACACCCCTACATCTCTTACGTTTTTATGAATAAATTTATGAGTGCACACCTGTTAACCGGGGTGGAAATAATTACTTGAGTGTGTGTGTGTGTGTGTGTGTGAGTAAGTCTGAGAATTTGACGCAATTCGCAGAGATTTAATTCGTTTCAAGTTGTGAGACAGGGGAAAAAAAGCTTTGAAAACCATTGGAGAACAGATAGAGACAACAGCTGACTGTTTCGTCCTTTGATTGCTTAGGACTCTTCAGCAAGCAGTATGCCCCTGTGATGCCATTCACTGCTGGAGACCGAAATTAGGTCCTTTAGGTTAATGGGTTAAAGCTCTTTTGACATTCAGCTATTGCATGAATTAAAAATGCACAAAGCACAACCAACAATTTACATGGTCAATACTGGTGAGTATTTTTCGTCACAATCGATTCGATGGACTCTGACGCTTACAATTCTACCAACTAGGCAATTTTAAACAACTTCATTCTTTTACTCAAACGCTAGAGATTACAGAAGCCGTTTTTTTTTTTTAATTGATCGTGGCGGAGAGGAGGGGGTGAAGGTTGAGACTGATTGATGGATTGGTATCAAGTTACATCATACTGATGACAGTTCATATTATAACACTTTTATTCTAAATCCTCATGAAATCACACAAATAGCTACACACATAGATACACACCCAAGAGGATATTTGAAAAATTAATTAATCGAAATGAATTCAAATGAAATGGGAATTTTTTCTCCCTAGAATGTAGATCTCAAGGATACTTCTACTACTAATAATAATACTACTCCTTTTGTCAATGTAATTAAAAACCTACTGATAGATTACAATAAACAATAGAAAAGGAAATAACGGTTTATAAAATTGTATTCATGTTTCCTTGTATGTGTGTGTGTGTGTGCGCGCTCATTCACTCATACGTGGACTTATGTACGTACATACGTGCGTCTGTGTATATGTGTCTGTGTGTTTTATGTACGTGTGTTCATGTTTGTATGTTGTAAGGCATTAGAACAATTCAATTAATCCTACCCACTTTTTTTTTAATATTCTACAAATTTCATCATAATATACCGTGTTTCTCAACTAAGAGATTTATTTTATTTATTTAATCCCTCAGAACAATAAAATAATAATTAAGAAATAAATAAAGAGGGATAAGAGAAACATGATAATGGAGATGAAAATCAACACCCACACATAGACACCGAGAAAAAACGCCCACGCGCACATAATGATATTTGAATTTATTGGTGCATACTCTGTCTCACACACACTACCACCGCACAGTGTAGATGGAAAGATAGACAGACGGATAAATGCACAGATAGGTAGACTGGCAGAGAGATGGAAAGGAAGGGGGCACTTACATTTCCAAAATATGCCTTCATTACTCAAGTATCGGTTTGTAGGGATTTGATTAATTGGTTACAGGATTTCAACATGAGCTGATATTGGTTAGAGAACCATTGGAAAACCAGGTGGGAGTACTGTACAGCTGTTTCTGTCATCCCAGTTTGGGACTCTTCAGCAGTACGCACCCACCACAAGGGTTCGAACCCAGGACGTTCTGATCACAAGGCTAGCGAGTTCGTAGACCAATAAGCCACTGGGCCCCCATCCAATGGCCAGTCAATGAATTCTAACTTCTAGGAATTCACGACATAGCGCGACCATTAGCCAATGTCTTCGACGAGTATTTGTCCTCAGATCCGACCTACTGCACCTTAAGGTTCAGGACTTCACACTAAAACCCCAGGTAACTACCTACCTGAATAGGGACAGTCGCCAGTGAGCATCTCATTGATATTCAAGTATTGTTTATTGTAAGGATTTGGTTGATTGGTTATAGGATTTTATCATGAGCTACTCGATATTGGCTAGAAGATGGGCTATGTCGTGAATATCCCTCCATTATTATTTCATATCTTCTATATATATATATATATATATATATATATATAGTCCTGATGTGTTTGTTTCCAGATGAATTTGGGTATAATATTCTCTCATATGATTTGGTATACGTTAGTGGGTGCGCACTGGTGAAGAATTCAAGAAGTTGACGAAACAGCTGTCCTCGGCTATATGTTGCCTTTCACTGATATTATTTCAAAAATAATTTCTGTAAACGAACACTACAGGATAATTAGTCTAATGCTTAATAGCCATTATTGGCTTTAAACAGGAATTTATCTGGAATTTTAGTGAGAATTGGTGACCGGTGTGGTCAACCAAGTCTGGTAAGAGAGAAAAGTCACTTACCGATGACACTGACTAGCGGTTGCGCTATATATATATATTTGTCACAGATTAGCATGGTTTCGATTCTTGAAATGGTAACACTAGCTGAATAGTCTACGAGCTGTGAAGAGTTAGAACTTAAATGTGTGACCAGAAATATATATTGTGATCACTGAAAGATGTAGATTAAGGTATTTGACGCGTATGTTACGAACATTTATGTCAAGTCAGTCAGTCAGTTAGTTCTTCTACATTTTTTAGAGATAAAGCTTGGGGGTTATCAAAAGCATTTGAAACTTCATCAATAGCTTGTTCCTTTCGACCGATGATATCTAAGGCCAGATGTCTTTCTGGCCAGAAAAGCTAAGGAACAAAGAACTATGGTAACGAAGCAACGACTATTCATCAACATCGTTTAACGAGAAAATGTTTCAATATTTCGCTATTACTTCATAAGCTACTTATGAGTAGTTAAGTTTAAACGCCAAAAGAAAAGGGGAGTGATAACTGCAAACGACTTCACAAAAAATAAACACTTAGAGTATACCAATAGTATGATGAACTAAGCATTTATTTGAGAGCTATCCAATGAGCATATCAAAAAATTATTAAAATCTGTAGTTTATTAGGGATATCGTACTTCTAGTCCAATAGTATGTAGCACTAGGATGTCAAACAAACTTGACCCTGGCTAACCAACCGCAATGATGATCATTTCAGCCTAGTCACTAGCGTGAAGTGGATGTGTGGCTGTCCTTCTAGCTGGCTGTCTATCACGTCATCAAGTGAGGGCTTGGCTGCCTCCTTGTTTGATCGTCTAGTGGGACAT